TGTGTTCTTTTTCCTCGGTGCAAAAAGTTACTTTCTCTGGTAGATAAAATCTGCATTTTAATGAAATATTGAATTAACTTTGTTAATGATTTGTTATTCTTTTTTGAACTAGATTTGTGGCGACGAGTGAGAAAAGAGAGAAGAATGTCGAAGGCCGGTGCATTTGATCTGGCTTCTGGTCTCGGTGGCAAGTTCGATAAAACTGAAGTCCTTTCTGATGTTGAAAAGTATTCTTCTCATTTCTTTAATTATGTGTTTGGAATGCTGTTTATTATTTTTTATTTTTTCTTTACGTTTGTTCTTCCTCTTCCCTAGATCCCTCCCTTTTTAGTTTCTGTGATTTTTTTTTAAAAAAAATGTTTTTAAATTCAGCAAACGTAATTAGAATAAAAGGTGTTTTATTAACGTCGTTTTGTCGACCATTTCTTTATTTATTTTTTCTGTTAGATGTTAGTAGGTGAAGAATGGTATTGATAGATTGAACCTCGATGATTGAAATATAAGATCTATTTAGAATTTGGTCCACAGTATGTTCTGATGGCTAACATTTGTAACTAGAATAAAAGAGAAATTCACTTAAACTGGATTAATATGCCTCTACATGTTTAATTCCCACTATATGGATTAAGCTTTTTGATTGAAGCTTTGAGCTTAGTTTTAATCAAGTGTCTACTTAGCCTTGATTGTTAGCATATTCCCACTTTGCCTCTATCGTTTTCTCTCATATGAGACGCTAGTTTACACAGATCAAGCTCATTTATTAATTATTACGTCTAAAATAAGTTCCATCTCCCATCTCTCAAATGGAAGGTTTTTTTATTTTTGTTCCCCTGAAACATTTCGCTAGCTTGCAGTCAAGCCCAGTCGGTCGTTGCATGGACTCTGTTTTCCTCACAAGTGGCTATACGGCCATATTTGTAAATTTATACAACTCTATGGAACATGGACCCGGTCATGATTGCTAACTGTTTTTCTATTTAATTCTTCAGTACTTGGATAACGCTGAAACATCTAGAAAATGGCGGGTTTGGTTGAAAGAAGCAAGATATGGCTTAAAATTATCATTTTATATCATAAATGAATTAAATGTAATTGCATCCAACTTCAACTGTAGATGACTGCTAGCTGATTCGCTCTTTTCTTCTTTATTATGGAGCATTAACAGTGTCCAACTTCAAATTCACTCTTTTCTTTTATTATGGAGCATTAACTGTGTCCAACTTCAACTGGTCATGACCGCTGGTTAATTCGTTGTATGTTTCTTTTATCATGGAGCATTAACTGTGTCCAACTTCAACTGGTGACATGATTACTATCAGATTTACTATTTGTTTCTTTTATCATGGAGTATGCATGGTGACCGATACGCAAGGGTAGTTAGTAGTTGCTTAAAACTCGTACCTTGAAATATTGTCTTTTACTCTTTAGACTGTTGTTAGTGTTTTTGAAATGTCATATTAGATTATGTTAATGATTCAGGTACGAGAAATATCACGTCTTTTATGGAGGTGAAGAGAAAGAGAGAAAGGCCAACTACACCGACATGGTTAGAATAGCTTCTTTTTCCAATCTTACAATCAATGATCCTTCCAACCTGCTGCCTGATTCCTTAGTTTAGCTCATTTTCAACTTTTGCTATTAGTTATGAATTAGGTGCTTGAATATTTGCTTTATTATTTTGGTTGAGCGTTTTACATACACTGGCAGATCTAGCTGTCAATTTCATCAAGCTAGATGATGATCATAAACGTTCCATTTTGTCTTAAACTAATGAATTCTTATTCTTGCTTACAGCTTTACTGGACTGATAAGGTTAAATTAGGACTTGATTGCATGTGCAAACACTCATATGATGTTATGAATTCAGGTTAACAAATACTATGATCTGGCTACCAGCTTTTATGAGTTTGGATGGGGTGAATCTTTTCATGTTGCTGCCAGGTATCCATCTATTCAGTCACTTCTATATTGTATCTGCAAGGAAGACGATGCAGTTGCTTTTTTAAGTCACTGCTGATCATTATCATACTTTTTTTTTCTACAGATGGAAAGGGGAATCTCTCAAAGATAGCATAAAGCGCCATGAACATTTTCTTGCTTTACAACTTGGCTTGAAGCCTAGACAGAAGGTTCTCCCACTTCATTAGAGCACGAAGCAATTGCATTCTGAGTTTTCTGTTATGTTTAACATTTGATTTAAGCATTGACTTTTCTTTTAGGTGTTGGATGTTGGATGTGGAATCGGTGGACCACTTAGAGAAATTGCTCGATTCAGGTACATAGCAGTTTGTTTTCAATGGTCATTTGTTTTATTTCTTCTTCCTTTTCTGTTTTCTTCCTTGTTTATTTGTATCTATTTTTGTAGCAGCATATATTGCCGATTAGGCTAGTTTTTCTTTGTTAGATTTGTGTATGTGTATGGATGAGCATACAGACTAGAGCCATCTGATCTCAGTTTTTTTCATGGAGCCTGTGTTTTTATACACGCATATTTTTTTAATTTCTTTTGGTTGATTAAATATGTCCAAATTAGGGGGGAAACGTTGCAATTATATTGTACGGTGAGCTAACTTCAGTTGGTGTTTCTTAGATGTTGTTTAACCATTGCCCTTTTCAGTTGGATGGTACAGCAGTTTTAGCAATATACTTTATGAATAAACCATGGCTAGTTATAATATTTAAAAGAATATATTGAAGGACTCTAAAACATGTTTATATGGTGATTGCTGCAGTTCCACATCTGTCACTGGGTTAAACAACAATGAATATCAAATAACAAGAGGGAAGGTGAATATCTCTTCAATCTCAAATAGATATGGTTCAAATGCTGCAGATGACATTTTTATCTTGCTTTTTTCTTTCTTTGTTTAGCACTCTTGTGTCTGACTGTAAGTATATTGATCTTTGAATCTATTAGTAGCCATTTTGGGTTGCTTAAAATGGGCTATATTTTATATCTCAAGTTCTCCTTTTAAATACTGATGGATCATAGCTATATAGTTTTTGGCTTTCTGTTGTAAAGTTTTCTTCATCATTTTAATTAAAGAAGTGATATTTTTCAGGAATTAAACCGAATTGCTGAAGTGGAGAAGACTTGCGACTTTGTGAAGGTTGGTAATTTTCTGTGTCAAGCTGTTTTATTGTTCTTTCACTCAAGTTTACATTATTCCCTGTTTTAAATTTTTCTCACACCTGCATGCAATATAGTTTTTTATGACGCAGAACATTGATATGACTGGTTTTCTTATGGTTACTGCCTAATGCAGGCTGACTTTATGAAGATGCCATTTCCTGACAACACCTTTGATGCAGTTTATGCAATCGAAGCTACCTGCCATGCTCCGGATGCTGTATGTATATTCCCATCACAATCAAGATCATTTTAAATTATGATTTTGATTCTGCATTGATTTATTTTTTCTAATTTGATTTGATTGTTTTCATGTTACACCACTTTACCAGTTTGACTTGGTCTGTTGTGACAGTATGGATGCTACAAGGAGATTTACAGAGTACTAAAGCCGGGTCAGTGTTTTGCTGCGTACGAGTGGTGCATGACTGATGCTTAAGATCCAAATAATCCAGAACATCAGAAAATTAAGGTAGCCATCTTAATGGCATGAAAATGCTACCAGTTTGGTTTGCATCCATGAGTTCAGCTTAAATGAAAGTTTTATTTATATAGGCCGAAATCGAGATTGGTGACGGTCTACCGGACATCAGGCTGACTAGACAATGCCTGGAAGCTCTAAAGCAGGCTGGTTTTGAGGTGAATTCTTACTTCCGTCTCCACTCTCCATCCCTCCCTTTTCAACTTTGAAGTCGTTAATCATTTTTTGTATCAAATTCTAGGTAATTTGGGAGAAAGATCTTGTTATCGACTCCCCTGTCCCTTGGTAGTACTTGCCTTTAGACAAAAACCACTTCTCATTGAGTTGCTTCCGTCTAACAGCTCTCGGACATTTTTTCACTAGAAATATGGTACGAACTACCAGACACTATACATTTTCATTCTCACTGTTACTCTTTATGAACTATGGACACGTTTTTAGAGGTCACAACATCGTACCAGTAATCATATCCATCTCTTTTGTAGGTCAAGGCTCTAGAATTTGTCGGTCTTGCTCCGAAGGGAAGCCAAAGGGTTCAAGATTTTCTGGAGAAAGCCGCGGAAGGATTGGTTGAAGGCGGCAGGTGAGTTACATTATGATCCTGTTTCCCCATGATGACTTGTTCTGCATGATAAGTTGGAGGATGTTTTGTAGTTTGCTCACAGTTTGTCGTTTCAATTTCAGGAAAGAGATATTTACGCCTATGTATTTCTTTTTGGCCCGAAAACCACTTTCGGAAAGCAATTGATGCAACGGTGTTGGGGTGAAAACTGAATTAATCTCATTGAAATTGAACCTATTTTGGCTATTTGGTCCATTATCTGTAAAAGTTATAGAGATTTCGTGTTGCTTAGTTGATTTCCGTTATTTGAAAATTAGCTGAATGATTTGAAACATACATATTACTGTATTTTAATCTTCGTCAGATGTTTCATTTTGTTGAAACCTTATTGTTCAGTATTTGAGTATTTACTGGATGATTACTACTTTTTTAAATTATAAGAAAAATCATAATTAAAGATATAATCTTTAACTTAATGGTATATATTTGAATGATTGCGTTTCTGGAGTTTTTTTATGATATATTTTCTGAGTTTAAGATGATTTCTTTTATGATTTAATATGGTTGTCTGATTTTAAATATTGATAAATTTATGTATATTTATAGATAAAATTACAAATTATTTAGAGAAAATAATAATTCTTTTACAATTAAAATTGCCCCTCGAGTTCTAAGCCGATTTAATTATTTGAAGTCGAAATGATTTCTTTATCTACTTTTGATCTGGCATGTTAGATTTAACGGTTGAACTTATCAACACGACAATTTCTCATTATATAATGGTGTGTAATACATTTTTTGAAGTTAACATAAACCTCTCCCTTAAATTGAAGATATCTCGTAAACCATCTTGATCCCACAGCCTTCAAATTAGTGGGACAGCAATGGTACCTATTATATTTCTATACGTCGGGTTTCGCCGTTTCGGTACGCTGATGGAACGGCCTGAACTCGCATTAAATGGAACGACTCATTGATTGGTGACTCACTTTCCCAGCATTCCCAACGTAAACAAGTACTTCTTTTTCTAGATATTATCATTATCTTATCTTTTACTCTCAAATGCTGCAAAATCCTGTTAACTTGGGATGCCCGTTCCCGGTATCCTCACCGCCCACCACCTGTTCGACAAAACTCCGCAGACAACACCTCGTGCGCTCATCAAACGGAAGCTCCGTTCACTGCCAATCGGGGTTCCAGAATGATTCCAAGAACGCATTGTCTCGGATTATAAGAAGAGAGGCTGCTATTGAAGGCATTGGGAGGAAAGCCAAGTCCAAGAAGCAGCGTACCAGGCTTTGGCCTAAGGCTGTTTTGGAGGCTCTCGATGAAGCTATAAAGGATAACGCTTGGCAATCTGCTCTTGAGGTCTGGGTCGTTTCATTTTCTCCTTTCAACTGTTTTGGCTTCTTTTTTATTTCAAAATAAGGTTTATATGAGAAGAATAACAATTGCCATTTTTATTTCAAAATAAGGTTTATATAAGAAGGATAAAAATTGCATTTTTATTTCAAAATAAGGTTTATAAAAGAAGGATAACAATTGCCTGTTTCTTAGATATTTGCTCTTCTACGCAAGCAACATTGGTACGAGCCTAGATGTCAAACATACACGAAACTAATAGTGATGCTAGGTAAATGCAAGCAAGCTCAACAAGCCGGTTTGCTATTCGAAATAATGCTTTCGGAAGGGCTTAGACCCACCATTGATGTCTATACAGCTCTGGTGCATGCATACGGCAAGAGTGGCCTCATCGACGAGGCTTTTACAGCTGTCGAAGATATGAAATCAGTCTTCGACTGCAAACCCGATGTGTATACTTACTCTATTCTTATCGACTCTTGTGTGAAACTTCGCCGCTTTGATCTCATTGGAAGAATTCTTGCAGAGATGTCTTATCTGGGAATTGAGTTCAGCACTGTTACATATAATACTATTATTGATGGATATGGTAAGGCTGAGTTGTTTGAGGATATGGAGAGTGTATTGACAGATATGATTGAAAGTGGTGATTCCCTTCCGGATATTTTCACGTTCAATTCTATTATAGGGGCTTATGGGAGAGGTGGACAGATTGAGAAGATGGAGAGGTGGTATGAAGAGTTTCAGCTTATGGGAATAAGACCTGATATCAACACTTTCAACACCCTTATTAAATCTTACGGGAAAACTGGCATGTACGAGAAGATGGGATCGGTCATGAAGTTCATGACCGAAAGATTTTTCTCCCCCACCATTGTTACTTACAATATTGTTATTGAAGTGTTAGGAAAAGCTGGAAAGATTGAGAAGATGGAGGAGTATTTTAAGGAAATGAAGCATAAAGGAATGAAGCCTAATGCTATTACCTATTGTTCTCTTGTTAGTGCTTACTCTAAGGCGGGGTCAATTAAGAAGGTCGATTCAATTTTGAGGCAGGTGGAAAATTCCGATGTGGTACTCGATACTCCTTTCTTTAACTGTATCATCAGTGCCTACGGTCAGGCCGGTAACTTAAAAAGGATGGCCGAGTTATTTTTGGCCATGAAAGAGAAAAAATGCATACCTGATACCATCACTTTTGCAACTATGATTCAATCCTACAAAGCTAATGGCTTTATTGAAGCTGCCCAAGATTTAGAAAATAAGTTGATCAACAGAAGCAGAAATTCAGGTATGTATGAACCTTGGGTCAAATACTCTGTTCTGCTGTGAATTTATACTGTCTTGTTGAACTCAAAAGATCATTTAGCTACAAGCTCTTTTCTTGATGTCTATTGTCTATGATAAAAAGGACACCACTAGTTAAGCAAATGTTCAATGCTAAAAATGTTGTGTTTTGCAATATCAAGTTTCTTACATAATAGCTGTTTTCTTGAAATTTTGGCAGGTGTGGTGAAGGAGCTGAGAGGGAATGAGGGAATGTGATAGGTAAATAAGAGTGGCATTGTTGAAGGTTGGTGGAGAAGGTAGAGACGGGTGTGAACATGTGGGATTTCCGGTGGTGGAGGTATGATCCGAGAAATTGATTTCGATGGTGGCATCAGAAAAGAGCTTTATATGGTTGAAAAGAAAAATGGTTATGAAATGGGGATATATCAGTCATATGAACATACTTGGAAAAGTTGAAAAAGTCATGCATAGGATACTAATAGTTGAAGAATATTGCAGATGCAGTTGACGGAACAGCGATGATAGGGAGATGGTTGACGAATTGTTGACTGCGACAAAGGAGGCCGGTATGAATTTCTAATGGTGCCCTTCCTTCCATTTCAACTTTTGCTTTTCATTGCAATGTATTGCATTTGTATTGTTAGGGCCTTGGGAGGAAACCTAATTAGGGGAATGTAAATCAGTTTGCCAGTGTATCTATACATTTTGTGTTGAAATAGAATTAGGTATTGCCATATAGATTTTGGTACTTTGTGTTGAAATTGGGGACATCCTAGGTTGTTGCCGGAGTTTTGCCCGGCACTAGTTGAATTTCGGGACTCTATCGGCCTCCGCATAAATATTTTTATATATAATAACAAAAATATCTAATAGTCCCCTTTGTTTTCGGTTTAACCGACTTTGGTCATCGATTTAAAAATTAAGCGTTCTTGGTTCCTTACGTTATCAATCCGTTCGATTTAAGTCACTCAACTGTTAACTCCCGTTAGCATTTTAATGAAAGTATTATGTGACAATTTAAAAATTAAAAAAAAATCGACGTAACCGTTCTAAGGGTTTTGTGCAAATGTCAAATATACTGCAGAAACACTTCTTCAACAGGAGTTCGCTCCTATGACCACACACAAAATCATCAAAAATCATATCATCTCTTTGTTATATATGTACCTATATTGTGAGATAAGGGCTAACAAAATCTGAAGCCAACACAGTGACGAAAGGAGATTCAAATATGTTTTCACTATAATTCCAAGTTATTACCACGCCATTTGCCTTTGAATCACTTATAGTAATGAAAGGCTTGTCTGGGCACAACAATCTTTTCATTATAGACGCCATTTGTCTGTGGAGTACTGTAGCAGTAAAGGGAGAGCTTTGTACCATGATCTCAATGCTTATAGAATTTTATCCTTTTTTTTAATTAGTTTATGTGATTATAAGTGATATTTGTTTTAGAGACTTACAACCATTTAACAATGAAAGCTCAAATACCGTGTATAGTTATTGGTGCTCAAACATATAACCTATAAGAATAACAACCATTCCTTCAACCATTGAGGTAGTTTGATTCGTCCAAATGTTAAGAGTTAAATGTATTATTGAAGGGTATACTACGTATTTAATCATTCAAGTATTCACGCGATTTCTTTTCGGTCACCAATTATATTTTTCAAAATCATACATAATATCACATTTTGGTTTCATTTTAGTCATTTGTCGTTAAAAAATTCACGGTGACACTAACGCATCACCACAAGGTAATGTTACATTATCATTGAATTTTTAGAAAACTATCACATCAGCAGATCTATTATTTTTTTTAACGATGTATAACCAAGATGAAAGCAAGACGTAACGTCAGATATGGTTTTGAAGAAAAAAACAGTTAGGTTACCAAAATGGTACCACACAAATAATTGGGTGACTAAATACATTATTTACCCTTATTTTTATTAATAATTTAATGAACTATGACTATTAATACTAATTCGTAACACTAATGATTAAATTAATAAAAAATCAATTTAATTTTTAAAATAGAGCATTCTATTAAATGAATTAGTGACTAAAACTTGTGATTAATTCCAAAATTTGTTCAACCAAATAAGGCGATAAAAGATTAGTCCATGCTTCCTTTTTTTTAATAATGTTTCTGCCTCTTAAGGAAAATTCAATCCTCTTTTTTCTTGCCATTTTAAATGACTAATAAAATACAGAATCCAATAAGTTAATCTGTGAAACAGGCTGGTGGTTGACTTTGTTGGTTGTCTTTACCTGTTAGGAACTGTAATTTACATTTTAACAACCTAGCTATGCATATGTTGACTAATACTATAGTTTGTGGTAATATGACAATGCTACTCTATTACCAGACATGAGCATGACCATAAATCAGATTCTGTGGACAGCTTCTTCAGCTAAAAGACAAAGTAATAGTTATTTTTCAATGTAGATGTTACAACTACCACCGCATAATGGTTTCTCCTTTATGTTATATATAATAACATTATTTTTGTCATTTTCATGGAGCTGTGAAATGGTTGCAGTATGGGAACCGGACATGATCTGCTTTGTTTCTCTGTTTTCATGGATAGAAATAAATGTATGGTTTTTTTGGTATTCCCATATGTCATATGATTATCGGTCGGCTAATTTGAATCTTGGACATTGTTTAAGGCACTTAACACCTCATGTCGTTAAATCAATTAGTGAATGATGAAAAATTGCTTGATAATATAGTTTTTATGACAAGTTACACAACCAATAATGAGTTTTTCTAGTTTGATTTTACTTGGTTTTTTCTTTAAGCATCTCATATGGAAGATGGTATCATCAATTCATTTTTTTAAAGACCACTCACTTGAATTCATCTTGCTATCGTGATCAGCACATGGAGAATGCATACCCCGGTTCGAATATCTTGGTGGTAACATTAACCAATGGTGTGAATCAAAACGTGTGGAAGCTCAATCCTATGAAGATACACTAAAAGAAGCCACGGGTGTGCTGAGGGACATGTTTGGGCCCGAAATACCTATCGCCACTGACATCCTCGTTCCACGCTGGTGGAACAACAGGTTCCAGCGTGGCAGCTACAGCAACTACCCCATAATCTCCAATAACCAAGTCGTTAATGATATCAAGGTAACTGACTCGTATCACTTTCATCATCCATTTTTGTGTTTTCACATTCTAAATGAAACAATCATGGAGTTTCCAGGCCCCAGTTGGACGCATATTTTTTACCGGTGAACACACAAGTGAGAGATTCAATGGCTATGTGCATGGCGGATACCTTGCGGGTATCGACACAAGTAAAGCTTTATTGGAGGAGATAAGAAAAAACAAAAGTTTATTGCTGGAGCCTTTGCTAGCATTGACGGGCCATTAACTTTGACACAGTCGGATACGGTCTCGGGTCGCCAAAAATGTGATGTTCCGACGCAATTTTATCTTAGTGGCAAGCTTGGCATTCCGGAAGCAATCTTATGACTAAATGTACCTAACTTCGACGAAGATGATGAAGAAATGAGGTTGAATTGGACAGAAACAATGGGTTAGGATCCAACAGTTTGATCGATCCCTCACCAACATGAACAAGGCAAAAATAGAATGAAAGGAGTTTAGGCAATGAATCAAAAGTTAGGCCTGTAGTTTAATATACACTTAAAATGTGTCATCAGACCCATTAACAAAACCCTACCACACCGCTTTAAAGGAGCGAAAGGTTGTAAAAAATAACCCTAACATTCCAGTTGCAGGGGAAGGAAGAACAATAAGATGACGCAGAAAGGATATTTGTTCAAAGGGAAAGAGAAGCAGAAAACAATCCCTCCCAGTCGCCACGGAAAACTTCCTCACATTCGCAAAGGTCTCTTCTTCTTTCTTTTCTTAATATGTATAAATGTATTGGTTCCAAATGTGCATTTTATTTATTTTAAATTTGATTCTTTGCAGGTGGGAGGGTCGTTAAGCCATCCAAGCAAACCAAAGAGATGGACGCTGATCGAGTAAAGTTTCTAAATCTCTCGTCGGTATTTTCTTTGAAAATTTTGATTTGATTTTTTTTTCATAATTGGCTTCTTATGAGCTGTTTAAGTGGAAGTATAACAGCTGAATATGATATTACTGAGTCCATTTTTTGTTCTCCGCGATTGCTTCGAGGTCGCATTAGGTTAATTAGTTTGCAGGCATTAGTTTAGTTTATTAGTGAACCTTGGGGTTAATTGCTTTGACCTATCTGTTTGAAATTGCATGCTTATATCCGGGGCGGCCTCGACCTCTCTTCCCTGGAGCTTTAACTTGAGTGAAACTGAATTCATTGAGAGTCTTGGTGTTGATTTAGAGAATTTGTTTCGAGCCTACTTGTTGGGACACCAGGCGAGGCGAGGTGTGGCTCTAGAAACTTATATGTATATACATTGAGTTTTTGTATTCGTGAGTGTTTTGGTGTTGATTTAGATAACTTGTTTCAAGCCTACTTATTGGGATGCTCGGTGAGGCGAGGTGTGGTAATAGATACTTAAATGTATATACATGAGCTTTTTTATTCATGTCTATATATAGAAAACAGACAATTATTCTATTAGTCAATAACTCAATATGCATGGTTTTCTTATAGTCCAAAGTCTATAATCGTATGCTCAAATATTTAGAAGCGTAGAGTTTGATATTGCTCCTTAGTTGTAAAGGAACTGCAATGGTTGGTCGGGCTTTTTTTCACGTCTATTGCCTGCTTAGGTGAGCATCTTGACAACGCTAGGATGCCCAAATTTGAGATTAGGCATACACTTAATTGAGAGAACTGGAGTTTGTTATCCTGTGTGTTTAGAAGATTTTATTATTACAAAAGTGAAGATCAGATGTGCGGGAACCATTTTCCATTGAAGACGGGCTTTCTTTGGCATTAATAATAAGAACAATTGCTCCATGAAAACATTATACATTTTAACACCATAACCGAGAAAAACTCATTGCAAAATCATATTGTAGGAAGCCAACATAATTTTTTAAATGTACTAAAAAGAAAGTTCAGCCACCAATAACAAAGCCAGACAACATAAGCCAATGCCACACAATTCTTCAGCGAATACTCATGTTTACCTCCGGTGATCATCCTGCTTTTGACTCCAATTTCGTGCTAGCTTTCGAATCTGATTTCGGCTCCCCTCTTGTTTGGGTTACTTGGGTGCTTCTTGCCTCGCCTGAACAACATCCCCCGCCATGGTGGTGGTGGTGGTGGTGGTGGTGGTGATGACTGTGTTGATGACTCGGCTTGGCCTTCAACTGCTTCCGCATGTCATATGCATCCTCCCCATCAGCGTAGTATTTGGCCTCCATGTCATGAATCTTATACCCCAATGTCTGGGTATACAGATTAAACGCTGCCCTGTTACTC